AGGCTGTATGTAAATGCTATAGGATTTGTATCTTGTACTAGATTGGTTAGTGAGAATCAGAATATTCAACACAGAAGAAGATTTACTGTATTGGAACAGGAACCTCACTCTCTTACCCTTTTACTCTCTTGCCCCTTTTACTTACTTACTCTCTCATCCTCTCTCCCCCTCTCTCTTCTCTCAGCCTGCTCTGAGCTGTGGCTGCAGCTCCCAGCAGGGTCCTGCACCCAGGCCCTTTGCAATAAACCCCAAGTTCCTGACCTGGCAGCAGAGATCTCTCGTCTCCATCCGTCCTGACCATCCTACCCCCCAACACTCCTACCAGCAGTTTTTTCCATGCCGTCCCACCACTGGATTCCCAGTTTTTCTGTACCTCCAAACCCCAGATCTCCTCACTTTGCTGTGATCTCCAACCTGTCTGACCCATTCACACCTACACAAGCTGTGTCCCCAAATTGATTTTCCCCTTCATTTTGAGCAAAACAAACAGAAAGGGAAGGGTGTGAAGTGCAATCCAGGTCTTGGCTGGGGTAGAGCTTGTCCTCCCAGCAGCAAGATGGATCACAGCTCTTGGAAATGCTCTGGATGGCAGCGTGCCCTCAGTGAGGGCAGGACAGGGGTTTGGCAGTGATTTGGGTACAGGGATCATAGGCTGGAGGAGCTGTTTGGCTAAAATCTGCCAGAGCACATTTTGCACCATCCCCTGGAGGGGCAGATGGTACCTGAGTGTTCACCAAGGTTCCACCATGAGCAGGTAACAGCTCAGAGCTCTGGGTGGGCAGAAGAAAAGCTGCAGAAATGGGTCTGACACCCTCAAAGGGTGGGCTCATAATCAGAGGTGATGTAACATTGCATGTGGGGAGAAGAGAGGGGTTAGGGATCATAGACTCATGGAATGGCTTGACTTGGAAGGAGGTCCTAAAAGATCATCCAGTCCCTTTCCCCACCATGGGTTAGGACAATTTTCCCTCAATCTGGCTGCTCCAAGCCCCATCCAACCCGGTCTTGGACACTTTCAGGGATCCAGGGGCAGCCACAGCTGCTCTGGGCACCCTGTGCCAGGGCCTGCCCACCAATTCCTTCCCAATATCCCTTCTAACCTTGCCCACTGGCAGCAGGGAGCCATTCCTGTGCCTGTGCCTGTGTCCTGTCACTCTGTGCCCTTGCCCCAAGTCCCTCTCCAGCTCTCTTGGAACCCCTCTAGGCACTGGAAGGGGCTCTAAAGTCTCCTTGGAGCTTTATCCTGTCCCAGTTCCCTCAGCCTGGGAGGGGCAAGGTGTCAGCAAAGCCTGAAAGTCTGAACTGTGCTGATTGTGACTCCTCCTCCCCAGCACTGGACCAGCAGAGAGGAAATCTCCTCCATGGTGAGCTGGTGTCCACCAAGCAGAGCACTCCAATGGCAGCACTGAGAGCTCGTGCAGCCCATGGCTCACCCACAGCTGCTCTCACTGTGCTTGGATCACACATGGAAAACAACAGACCAGGTTCTGCTGAGGTTCAGCTGTGAGGCAGTGTCAGAGCAAAGCACAATTTCAGAAAGTTCACACTGCTGGTGTGGAAAGAACAGCAAGACACGCAGGTCAAGCACATGGCAGCGCTGCTGTTCCAAAGGAAAAAGCAGAGAGGTCCAAAAGATAAGAACTGATGCCAGGAGAGTTGGCAGAGATGAAGGAGAGCACTTCCAGGCTGGAGCCCAGCCTGTGGACACACCAACCCCTCAGCAGGGCCAGAAAGGATTGGGAGGGTGGAGAAGAGAAATGTTCCAGCTCCAGACAAGGTTCCCAGGCCAAGCAGCAGCAAATGTGACCTTTCAGGTCTGTCCAGATATTCAGAGATAAGACACCAGCACTGCGATTTGGGGAGACCAAAGAATGTTCTGGCCCTGAAGAGGAACAGGAAGGAGACACAAGTGACAGGATCACTTCTTGGTAATGCCATTGAGCAATGTCAGCCTGGAAGAGTCAGGAGTGGAGTCAGAGAGCAGGAAGGGTTTGGACCAGAGAGGGCAGAGGAGGTAATGTAGCCAACCTCTGGCTGGTGAGGGAAAGCAGAGGAGCCCTGCCTGGCTGCCTCATCAGCATCCCTGGGATTCAGTGGGATGTGACACACTCTGGCTGGTGGGGCTGAGGACAGAGGGTCAGACACAGAATTTTTATGGACAAGCTCTGCCACTGGTTACACCTGGCTGAGGAAAAGCGCTGAGCTAAGTGGTAAATCATCCTATACCAGACATAACCCTGAGTGCTACACAAGTTTAGAACAATTTAGGTGCAAAAAGCCCTCAGGAGGTCTCCAGTCCAGACCCCGGCTCATATCTGGGTCCCCTCCTACCCTCAAGCACTTTGCCCAGAGCCCTGTCCAGTCAGGTTTTGGAAATCTTCAGGGTCAGAGATTCCTCCTCAGGGCCCTGTCAAGGGCTGCACCATCCTCATGGCAGAACAGTTTTTCCTGGCATCTTTTCTGGATTCCTCCTGTTGTAACTCATGGCCATTGCCTCTTGCCCTTCCCAGTGCAGATCTCTGAGGAGAGTCTTGTTCCATCTTCATTTAAATTCCACCCACCCTTTGGGAAGTGTTAGAGGACAATTAGATCATCCCTTTCTAATGTTCCAGGCCAAAAAAGCCTCCTCAGATGCCTCATACTCCAGCCCTGATGATCTTGGTGGACCTCCAGAGCTTTCCACTCCTCAGGGATGAGCCTGTGCCTACCAGGACCCATTCCATGTGGGATCAGGCTGGACCATCAACCTCTGCATCCAAGGCAAGAACAATACCAAGACCCGAGGGTGTCTTTAACTCTAGGGGTGGGTTAAAGAAGCCCTGTGAGTTCTTTAGTGCTGGGTCAAAGTACTTCAAGATATTTGTCATAAATAAGACACAGGAAGGGCCATCCTGGAGGATCTGGAAGGGAAAAGGGGCCAGCCTGGAAATAAGAAGCAGAATTTGGGGGTGGGATTGTAGCTCATGGGCACATAGGTCCCTTAGCAGCTGGAGTTTGTACAAAAGAGATTCAAGATTGAAAGTAAAGCCTTGGAGAAATGGGATGACTGCCCTGTGGAGAAGGCTGGTGTGGGGTATGACACTCACAGGGTTAAAGAGGAAAATCAGGAATTGAGGGAAGGTGCCTTTGGGAAAGGCGAGCATCTTGTCCAGCACTCTGAGTGCTGAGAGCAGGCTGGAAGAGCACGGACAGAGGACATGGAGGAGGGGATGGAGCTGGGCACCAGCCAGGGAATGAATTAGTGGTGAGCAGGAGCTGTGCAGAGCCCCGGCCTGCCGGGCACCACCTCCAAGGACAGCCACGGGCACGGAGAGCCGGGAGCTGGCAGTGCCCATGAGATGTGATCCGGGCTGAGCTGGGCCTGGGCAGTCCAGCAGCCCTCCCTGCTTCTCCCACAAAGCCCGAGCTCACCTCTCTGCTGAGGCTCCTGCCCAGGGTGGTGGGAAAATCCACATGATAGGACACAGGGAATGGCTTCCCAGAGCCAGGGATGGATGGGATATTGGGAATTAGTTGTTTCCCTGGCAGGGTGGGCAGGCCCTGGCACAGGGTGCCCAGAGCAGCTGGGGCTGCCCCTGGATCCCTGGCAGTGCCCAAGGCCAGGCTGGATGAGCTTGGAGCACCCTGAGCTAGTGGAAGGTGTCCCTGCCCATGGTAGGGGGTGGAATGAGATGAACTTTGAGGTCTTTTCCAACCCAAACCATTCTACAATTCCATGCCAACTTTGGCTCAGCATTCCCATGAAAGGACTGTCTCTCTGGACCACAACATGAAGTTTCATCAAGGCTCAGCCCTGAATGAGGACCTTGAGCACAATCTGAGCATGGCAGAGCTCTGTGTCTCACCACGGTGGCCATCCAGGGACCAGCAGCTGCTTGTCACCCTGCCCCAGCCACCACAGCCGGAGGGAGCCAAGCCCAGGAACTTTCCAAACCCTTTCTGCTGGGGAATGGGGCAGCCTGGGCGAGCCTACAGACTGCTCTGCAGATTAGTGACAACACAGTGAGACCACAGGAAGTCCCTTGAGGTGAAACCAGGTGGGGATGGAAAGCATTTGTGGGAAGTATCAGGAACACTCCCCTATTCTTACATTGCTGCTGTGTCATCTAATTACAGACACGATTGGAGGCAGCAACCTGGAGCAGCACAGCCACTCTTTCATCCTGAGCAGGTGGTGGCTTGCACCTGGGACATGCTGTCCCCTGTGTCCCCCTCAATGAGGTCCCTGAAGCCCCCAGTTGGGCAGCAAGGCCCTGCTTGCAGAGAGCTGGGACAGCGGGCTCTGGAAGGACACGGAGCTGGGGCTGTGCCCAGCACTGACTCAGCAGGAAAACCCAGCTTGAGTCACCTTCCCGGTGAAGGAGGGAAGCCACCGGTGCATCACAGCCTGCCACAGACCACAGGCATTTCCAGGTGCAGCAAACACCTGGCTGCTCAGGAGCTCCAGAGCTCTCAGGAGCTGCAGAGCTGCTGCTGGGGCATCTCCGTGTGCAACAGCAAGAGGGAATCTTGGGGACAAGGGGAAGGGGGAAGGAACAGGACTGAGGAGAGCCTGTGGTGCTCATTCCAGCAGGGAAATGTACCAAAGCTCCTTTGGGTACCTGCCCACTGAGAAGACGGTGGTCTCTCCAGGGTGCATCCTGCTTTTGCCCTCCTTGGAGCGGCCCTGGCGCTGCAGGGGGTGCCTCTTCCTCCTGCTGCAGTGGATGCAGGGGGCGTGTGTGGAGCCCAGGTGCACCGTGTGGTGATGGGGCGGGCCCCCGTCCTGGCTGCTGCTGTGGTGACCAAGGCTGCAACAGAAGATGACAGGCTGTGTCACCTCGGGGAGACATCCCAACCCTGGTGCAGCCCCAGTGGAGCAGCAGCTCTGGGGGGGACAGGAATGAGGAAGAACTGTTCCACTTGAGAGTGGGGTGAAGCACTCCTCAAAACCCTCAGGAGAGCAGGACTCCCCATTGGGAAGATGTTTTGTGGCAGCTGGAAAGGGGCTGCTTGTCCCTCACTCACAAGCTGCTGTGATCTTCCCTCACCTGGGCACTGGCACTGGCACGTCCGGTTCATTTTCCCCCAGCATCTCCTTGAGGGCCTCCACATTTGCTGAAGAGAGAGGGGAAAAAATGGGAATGCTGAAGAGAGAGGGAAAAACGAGCCAAAGTGATCAGCACGGCTCCAGGCTGGCCCAAGGAAATGCTCACCTTCATTTTGGATGATGCATCTCACAATCTTCTCCACGGTGTCATCGTTCTTGTCAGCCTCATCTGAAAAGAGACAACGTGGCACTGAGGGCTGGGATTCCAGGGCTCTGCTCACTCATCCCTTCCCAGGAGCAGCTGCATCAGCAGAGTTGTTGGAGAAGCCTCGAGTCCCCTGTCACACTGGGAAGGCACACTGGGGAACACCAGATCTCTCATCCTGGAAAAGAAATGGCTGAGCCAGCAGCTGCTTGTGCAGGGAAAGGGGGTGTGTTGCTCCTTCAGAGCATCTGGAGAAATGAGAGGGAAGCAGGTTCTAAAAAGTTGGAAGAGGAGGGTCCTTGTCCAGCCCTGGAGCCCTTGGCTGCAAGATGCTGAATGTTCTCAAGGCTCCAAGGGTAGACAGGACAAGTCCACAGAAAATAAACCCACTGGGATCCACTAAACACAGCAATGGGTAACACACAGTGACTGAGAGAGCCCCAGAGCTGCACTCTATTGAAAGCTTAAAGACTGTTCTGGGGAATCTTGGCTGGTGCCTGCTCTGCTGTGGAGTTCACCCACAGCTTTCAGCTCAACCTGCTTCCAGCCACTGCTGGAGGCAGGAGGCACGGTTGGGTGGATGGATGGATGGATGGATGGATGGATGGATGGATGGATGGATGGATGGATGGATGGAAGGGGGATGGATGGATGGACGGACCTCCAGCCTGGTCAGCAGTGTGAGATGTTCCTTTAAGCAGGTTGGAGCTGTGGTCTGGCAGGCAGCTGCCTCAAAGGCTCTGGAGCTGCCACCATGATCTCAGAAGTTCTCCATCATCCCATGGAGAGGTTTCCCTGGGCTGTGGTGTGTCCAGAGGGCAAAGCCCATCCTGGAAGGTTCAGAGGCTGTCTCCATGTCATGTACAGCCAAGACATTAAAGCCAGAGGAGCACATCCATGAGCCCCTGAGACTCTGGCTGCACTGAGGACGAGCCCGAGGAGCTGCATTTCCCTCCTGAGCGCAGGCAGCGGCAGCAGGAGGTGCTGATCCTCCCCAGCACTGCCACAGCACGCGGAGCTGGAGGAGTTCTGTGGCACCATGTGGCTGTTCCCAGCCTGGGAAGCAGCAGAGGAATGTGTGTTCCCCCTTCAGCAGACACTCAGGAAAGCACCGGATGACAGAGCTTGGGCCGGGCACCCACGCTCGATGCAGCACTGACTTCCCAATCCAGCCAGCCCGGAGCGACTTGCAGTGCCCTGAAGCCATGGAAAAAATTCCCTACAGGTCCCTTCCCCTTCCAGCAGCAGCCCTACTTCTGTGGTCTGCAAGAACACAGCAGGGACCACAAGAAGACATGGCCAATAACAAACACCAGCTGGCTCTCTGCCAGACATCCTAATGCCAGAGGGACAGAGGCACTTGTGCTCCAGCTGGGAGAGGTTTTCCTTGAGGGAACAGGGGTTATGATTGAGATTCTGGGGATTCAGCAAGTCCTGGATGTTCATCAGAATTACCTTCTGGTGATAATGCTCCTTTGGGAAGGGCCAGGCACTGGCTCCCACCTCGCTGTCACCTCCAGCCGTTGTCAGCTCGTGGATCTGAGGGATCCCTGTCCCTCACACTCTCAATCCCCAGGGAACACCACACTGGTCTCACCGCCCCAGCCCTTTATTCCAGCCCAGCCACACGTGACAGGTAACCCTCGCAGCCCCATCCCACAGCCCAGAAGGGTGCATGGGGAGCACCAGCCCACAGCAGGAACAAGGCTGAGCCCCCAGCGACCCCCATTGCCCAGCACTCACCATCGTCGAGCTCCTCCACCTCATCTTTGTCATCTGGGTCAAGCTCATCCCGGAAGGTGCGGCACCGGTAACCCTTCTTCTTCAGGACATGGCAGATCAGGAACCCCACCAGCCCCATGATGAAGAAGACAAGGACAAGGAGGAAGACCACAGTGATGCCGTGCTGGGGTTCTGACTCCCCATAGTGGGGGTCGTGATGGTCTGACATGCGGATCTAGGAGGAGGGGGAAGGCAGGTCAGAGCCGCCCATCCTGTGCCATCCTCCCGTTCCTCCTGCGGGGCCAGGGACAGCTCCCAGCCCGGGGGCAGCTCCAGCCCGAGGGCAGCTCACAGCCGGGGCAGCTCCAGCCGGGGGCTCAGCCCGAGCCCCGCAGGGTCCGGCGCGGTGCGGAGGACAGGACAGAACAGGACCGGCCGGAGGTGGCTCCTCGCGGTCTCCCAAGGACACTGCTGCCCCTCACGGCCCCGCCAAGAGGCATCCCAAGGGCAGCGGCGGCGGCAGCGTCCCCGCAGGCCCCGCCGGCCCCGGGCTGCGGCGCTCCCCCGTCCCTTGCAGGCGGCTTCCCAAGGGCACCGGTGCCCCGGCCTGCCCGGGGGTCTGCGGCGGGCGGCATCCCCGGCTCGCCCTTGCCGGAGGATGGCTGAGCATCCTCCCGCGCTGCGCCGCGCCGCTCCCCCGCAGCCCCCGGTACTCACGGCCGAGGCCCTGCACCGGCACCGGTACCGGCACCGGCAGCGGCGGGCAGGGAGCCGCGGCAGCCGGGCTGGCGGAGGGCCGAGCCGCCGACCGCTCCCGCATCGTCCTCCCGCAGCACCGAGCCGGCTCCCTCCGCCCCGGCTCCCCCGGGCGCTCCCGGCTCCGCTCCCCGCACGGACAATGTCCCCCCCGCCTGTCCCCGGCCCCGCTGCGGCGCTACCTGGGCCTGCGGTCCTCCGCAGCGCTCTCCTCTTCACCTTCACCTTCACCTTCACCTGCCTCCTAGCAACCCCGCATCCCCGCGGCTGGGCACCGCGGCGAGCATCCTCCGGCCCCCGGGCCCCGCTCCGTGCCTGCCTTCCCCGCGAAGGAGCCAGCTGCCTCTGCCCGCCGCTCTCTGCCGCGCTCTGCCACAAGAGCACCCGCCTGTCCCAATCCCGGAAAAAAAACCTCTCCGGAGCTGTTTCGGCGGAGGAAGGTGCGGAGAGGAGCTCGGGGAGATGCCGGAGGGAGGCTGCAGCAGGACACGCAGGAGCGCTGCTCGGGGAGGCTGCCAGGGAATCGCTGCCGCCCGCCCCGGGGTGAACAAGCTCACCCGCACGCGTGCCAGCCCCGAGCTCCCCTGGCACCTTCCTTGCCTTGGATTTTAGGGCACCGAGCCCTGGCGATGGGAGGGAGAAGGGTGGAAGTGGGGCTCAGTGAGAGCAGGGCTGATCACACAGCAGCGTGTTTGGGGGAAGAGGGGTGCAAACCCCCACACGGGGATCCCAGCACCGAGGAGAGGGTGGGAAAAGAGCCCCGCGAGACTCCTGTGTCTCCCTCCCTCCTTCCTAAAAAGGGAGGGGCTAAGCCATTGGAAATCTCACGCTGTGGTGGTCCCATGACCTCCTTCTCCATCTCCACCTCATTATCCTCACTCTGGGAGGCTTCACCCACCACTCCTTTGCTACTGGGAATCTGACCTGCTCCTCTCCATCCTTCAGCCACCTGCCAGTTCTCCAGCCCTTGAAACCCCTCCCAGCCCATCTCCACTGAACCGAGTTCCAACCCATGCACACATTCCTCCATGGCAGTTATCCCATGGGAATCCCTAATGGGAATTATCCCACTCCAGTCTGTCACACAGCCTGTGGCTCCTCCAGGCTCTCAGCTCTGCCTCGCTGAGGGCTCCTGTCCCTCTGCACAGGTGACCAAGTTGGCTCTCAGGAGCCTCCTCCATCAGTGTGACTTCAGGATGTCACCACACCACAGGTGACACCCACCTGCCCACTGTCCTGACAGGGAGACAGGAATGGAATATCTGTGCAAGAACAAGACTTCTCCTCCTGCCACGGACTGCTGAGCCACAGGAGAGGAGAGCTCTCCAGACCCTGGACCAACAAGCTGCTGCATCATCTGAGGAAGAGCCCACAAAGCAAAGCTCAGAGGCAGTTTCTCCTTGCCCCTGTTTCTGAGCACAGGGCGAGCTGGCAGCTCTGGGTTTCTGCAGGGCCCTGAGGGGACACAGTCATGGCCAGTGTACTCCTGCTCTCCCCGTGCCCACGCACACTGCCCTGTACAATAAATCTCTCTTTCTTTCTCCTCCTGGGCGTTCCCACCCACCCAGAGCATTGCTGCACCCTGCCCCCTTCCAGCATCCCACCCCCCTTCCTGACCCCAGCCATGCCAGGCTGATCAGAACTCCCCATTTGAGGGGACATTCCCATTTTCACACAGCCTCTGGTGTGTGGTGGCATTTCCACAAGTGTGGCACAGCAGCCTGGCCCTGCCTGAGGAAAAATCCTGGCCTTTGTGGGGTGAGCCAGGATGAGGAAGGGGTTCTGGGGCTGTCAGGCTGCTCCCTCCTGGCTCTGCAGCTGGATTACCCCAGCTGATTGTTTCTCTTCCTGATTTTCCCAACCAGGGATTGCCTGCTCTCCATTCTGCTTCCACCACCTCAGCTTCAGAGTCCCTCCAGGGCCTCAGCCCTTGTCCCACCATGGGACCCCGTTAGCATTTTAATGGTCCCACAGAGCACCTCACAGGTGAGCCAGAAACAGCACCCTGGCACCTCTGTGCCCCAAAGCAGCCAACATTTGAGGCATGGACCCACACAACAGAGCTCTCCCTTCCAAGGAGGCTTTGTGGGGACAGAACCCACACGGGGACAGCCCCACACCAAGCTGGGGAGCTGCAGCCATGGCTGTGGGCTGCCTGCTCATGGCATATCCACAGTCTGGGCTTCCTCTGTTGCTCCTGACTCCATCCCAGCTCCTCTCCCATCCTGTGTGACCCCACCAGCCCAGGCAGTGGCACAGGACAATCCAGCTAGAGCTCTAGGGTAGGCAGCTGCCTTCTTTGTGCCTACCCACCTCATCCAGCACCACCAACTGGAGGAGGATGAGAAGGAGATTACACAGTCCAGGACAGTGCTGGTCCAGAGAGTCCCCTTTGCCTGGTGAGGGGCACTTCTGTGGGATTTATCTCTGCCTTTCCCATGTCCCTTTCAATGAACTGAGCTCCTCTTTTCCCATCTTTTCAGGACTTATGAAACCTCCTTGCTCGTGGATGAACCAATTAGTGATGAGCTCCCCTACAGTGGTAAGCTGGAGTTGCCGTCTCTCCTCATGAGCTTAGCTGGAATTCTTGGGATGTTCTATTCTGCATTGAGCAGGGCCAAAGTGTCAGCACTTCCTGACCTTGGAGATGGCCTTAGCCATGCCTGGAAGTGTCCAAGGCCAGGTTGGATGGGGTTTGCTCTAGTGGGAGAGGGTTGGAATGAGATTTAAAGTCCCTTCCAACCCAAACTATGCCCTGACCCTCCTTCCCAGGACGCCCCTCAGGGCTTCCCTGAATCCTGCAGGTCCTTGGAGGCTTCACTCCCTTTCCAGGCATTGCCTGAAACACTGAAATTTCAGCCTTTGAAGGCTTGGGAGGGAGGGGACAGAGTGGCCAAGGAGAGGCTGGTGGGACAGTGCTGTCCCCTGTCACCCTGTCCCTCGGCTGGCTCTGGTCCCAGTGAAATCCCACATTACCTCTTGTTCGCTCTTTTCCTGCTCCTCTTCCACAGCCACTGGAGCAAACGTCGCCCCACAAACAATGGGACCACGTCCTTTTGGGGGATCAGCCACCACTGCCTGTCCACGTGGCAGGTAAACAGGCTGGAGTGCCCAGATCCAGGCTCCTCTTGGGGTCTTCCCTTCGATGCTCAGCCCAAAACTTGTCCTCACATCTGCGAAGCTGCTTCATCCCATGGTGTCAAACGTGTCCCCAGATCCTCAGCCTGGCTCCAGCTTTTCAAACATGCCCAGCAGCTAATGGCCGTTAAACCACAGCCTGCCTTTGCTCTCTGAGCACAAAGAGCATCTAAAAATATCCCTCTGTGACACTTCCCTGCTCTGTCCAACACCCGTGAAGAGGCCTGGAGCAGCACCCGGCTTCCAGAAGGACAGCTCAGGCAGCAGAGAGATCCCAGCTGGAAACAGGGACGTGTCTGTGCTCAAGCAGGGATCTGTCTCTCCTCAAGCAGGGCCGTGTTTCTCCTCTCCTGAAGGAAGGATGTGTCTCTCCTCTCCTCAAGCAGGACTGTGTCTGCTCTCCTCAAGCA